GGCAGGTAATATCTCTGCAGACCCCACACACGTCATGAACGCAAACAGTTTGGACTTTTACCTTCGGGTCAATGCCACAGAGCATTATTTGCAAAAACCAGTTGCCACAGAGACAGTTTCCTTCCCCAGGCTGTCAGTTTGATGAACAGTTAACAGAGTGCCTAGATCAATGCCATGAATATTGGCACTATTTCAACCTTGTCTTTTTTTTGTAAAAGCATTTTATATATGTATATACACATAAAAACTTTTACATTAATTCTTACACATTCATATGTAAAATGTTTTATTCTGACTAAAGCATACAGGAGTGTTTTGCTCATTGTAACAACAAATACTTAACTGTGCATGTCGTTGTGTCTAGCTACCAATACTCAGGTCATTCCTCTCATTGACCAGCACTCTTCTCTGGAGGCCCGGCATTGGTTAGTTTGTGGAAGCTGTTATGCAGACTCCTGTTCCTTCTTGTTACTCGGAAGAAGACATCTCACAATCCACCCATGTTATTTCAGCAATTTTTATCATTTTAAATAAAAGTGCTCACGTGTGGCAATTCAAAACCCAAATTGTGTATTTTCTGAAAAACACAGTCACTTGAAAAACTGACAAAAGAACTGAAAAAATAAAATAAAAAAAAATTAAAAAAATTAAAGCGCTATTCTACAGACAACAAAAACATAAAATAAGTTGCACGCACAATCTGGAACAAACCTGTTACAAACACATTGATTCTTTGTATTTCATTTGATGAGCAGAAATATTCGTGTTAGTTTTTGGGTTTTTATACTCATCTCCTAACTGATGATTTTTGCTGAACACTGCAAAAAAAAAAAAAGGTAAATAAAAGCGTTTTTGGACATTCTAGCAAATAAGGGAAAAAAGTAAAACTATAGCCCATGGACCCTTGCTAGAACAAAAACAAGGGTGGTAAGTTAGGTCAAAAAATATAATTAATAAATATTGTTTTCTCCAGTTAATCACTCTATTACTTTGCAGTTACACCATGACAAAAGCCTGGAATGAACAGTAGAAAATATACATATATATTTTTAGTAGTTGCCATGTTTTAATCACCCACTGCACCCCGATTGGCTGGATGGCGCTCTAACACATGCACAAATCAGTCAGGCAGCACTAATCTAAACTGCAGCAGCTCTGCATGACAACCATGCAAACTGCTGAAAACAAGAAAACATTCAGTGTCCCTCACCTGCAGGGCTTAGGGTTGGAGGTAGGGTTAGCTGAGGTCACTTGTGTGAACTGAAAATAACATATGGACATGCAGCGTAAAGCTCCCAATCAACTTACATGTGAACGTATTGAGACTTGCAACATAAACATACAGATTGAATTAGGTCAAAAAATATTTTAACTCACAAGAAAAGGCTTGACTATCTTTAGTGTTTTCTGTGAATGATTGACTTGCATAGGGAAGTTGTTTTCCAACAAAATTCCTTCTTCATGTGCACATTTCACATGAAAACGTGTTCATCTCTGCTACACAGACTCCTCGTCCTGAACTGGACATTCCTATTTTCTTGAAACTTTACAAAAGGCTGCACCAAAATTGTAAAGGTTTGCAGTTGCCCTTCTAACAGCTTGGAAGATTTATTTTTTAGCTTACAAAAAAATATATTTCTTTTGTAAGCTAATCTCAGTTTATTTAGTGGATAAAAAATCAAAAATTGAGTGGCTGGATAAATGGATTTCCGCATCCATGAATATATTATTGCTCAAGACAAGAATGAATGTATTAAGGAAGACATTTTCAGGCTAACATGGAGTACCATTTGCTTATTTCAATATTTTATTTTTTGCTTCTTGTTCCCTCGCGCTCTGCACATTGCACCTAGCTAGAACTGCTTAATTTGCCTTTATTTTGCCTATTTGTATATTTTAAGGCCAATGTGGATCTTCTATGAAGTCAATGTGATCTTGTTCAAAAATATAACCACAAAAAAAAAAAAATAGAAACGCCTCAGGCATTGAGCTCCTGGTGAAATGTGCTTTGCTCAGCTTGAGTGTCAACTTTGTGGATACACATTAGTGCAATGTGACTCAACCTCCAGCTACTGTTTTATGCCCTGTCCACATAGAACTGCATCTAAAATTAGCCTTTAAAGCTTAGACATTTAAATATATTAAACTGATCTGTCTAGGCTCTCATAATTTATTTTTTTTTTCCCCGCAGAATGTATTCTGTTAAACACATTAAGCAGAACAGTGTGCCCACTTTGTAATGCAATATTTGTTCATTGTTTAAAGAGTATTTTGTGCATAATTGCCGCATTCACAACACCCTTCCTTCTAATATCTGCAGAGTTATCATTGCTGAGACTGTAGGGGGTACATAGCATCATTTCAAACCTCATTTAACACCGAACGTACCCTTTCTGGAGCTCAAATTGCTCACCATGGAGCAGCAGAGAGACTCTAGACATTCATTAGCTTAATGAAAACAGGCCACTCTTCTTCTACCGCCCAGTGAGCTTGTTCCTGATGTAACCGCAGCGACCATCTGCTCTTCTGCTCCCTGCCAGCCACAGGATAGTCCTGTCACAGCAGCTCCAATGAAGGAAGACATCCACAAAGGTGCTTTAATCACTGAGATCAGAGGACAGGCAAGGACAGCAAGAATTCCTCCTTTCTTATTTTTATCCCTTTCTTCTTTCTTTTTTTTAGTTTTATTGGTTTTATCCCCGCGTCCCTTGGCGCTTCCCGATTGTGGTTGCTTCACTTATCTGAGATGTTAATGATGTTCACGAAAGAAGCTGAGTGTGCAGTTATCGGAGTTGACTTGCAGCAGCCACACACAGCTGGCAGTAAGTTATTAGCTGCTCAGTCACAGCAGGAGATGATGCATTCTGCGAAGGTTAATATCATTTAAGGGTTAGCCAGAGTGAGATGTAGTGGGCAACTGACCACCTGTTCAGATCTGAAGCTGAACTTTTAAGATCCTGAAAGAGGCAACTTAACTTTTGAAAGTCAAAAACATTGATTACCCATTATAAGACATTTTAGTTTCTTTTACTTTGTTTCCTCTGGTCCTTAAGTTTATCTAAATCTGCAAGTTTGAGGTTGTTTTATGAATTATTTTTAAATTAATCACAGCTAATCCTAGCACTCAGACTGACAGCCTTGCAAAATTATTCAGGTGCCCTGGACATTTTTACATTTTGTGACATTTTGTTAAATGGACAATTCTTAGATCATCACTAAGGTGTACATAATTGTGAAGAAAAAATATTTACATTGTAGTTTTCTTTTTGGAATATGCCTCTATCGTGGTGCATTTCTGCGTTGTCACATTTTTCTAAATTTTTCCTGAAACGTCTCACCCTCAGACAGATTGGACTGGAAGCATCTGTTCGTCGCAAATTTTATATTCTTAATGAGTTTCTGTTATATCCTGGGTTGTTTTGAGTTACTTTTGAGGTTTGATTATGCACTAAAGATGAGATGACAGCACTTTTTTCCAAACACGTTCTGACATAAGTGAACTTTAAATCACATGTCTAATAAGCTGGTTCCACTGTTAAAATCAGTAGAATTGTATTTCTTTCTCCATGTCTCCAGACAACATGTAACATCGCCAATACCAATTGACATGACAGAACAATTGCAACTTGCCAAATGGCAACATACTCTTGAAAACCTTGAAAACATTTCCTGCCACATATAGTGATTTACATGTTTTGGTCTTATCTGACCAAAGCACCTTCTTTAACATGTTTGTTGTTTCCTCTGGCTTGTGACAAACTGCAAATGAGACTTCTTGTGACTTTGGTCTTTCCAACTACAAGTGTGTGGAACGTATGACTGATGGTTGTGTTGATAGATTCTTCCACCTGAGTTGTGGATCACTTCAGCTCCTCCAGAGTTAATAGTCTCTAAGGTCTGAATTTTGCCAAGCTCTTTTCTTTTGAAGGAGACAGTCTGATCAATTCTGTGTTGTTTAAACACTGGCATAGTTTTTTAAAGTTATATTTAAATTACTCCTTAACTTTATCCCTGACCTATCAATTGTGTTCATTGAGCTTCATGATGCATTTTGTTCACTTATGCTCTCTTACAAACATTTAAGGCCTTCAAAGAACAATCATCCACAGTGGGACTCTTATTGGCAGCCCTAGATTTTATTTTTGGATATCAAAGTAATACAGAACTTTTCAGATCTTTCTTTGTAAAATAATTTGAAAACTATTCATCTTTTCCTTTCCCCTCTTATTTATGTACTACTTTGTGTTGGTCTAATACTTTAATTACCAGTAGAATACATTTGTGGTTGCAATAAGTTAAAATGGTAAAAATAAATAAATAAATAAATAAATAAAGTGGTATGAATATGTTTGCAATAGTTTTATATGAACATGAGATGGTGCAAAATAAAAGAGCAAATGATAGTCAGAGCCTGGAGGCTCGAATCTGATGGTTTGTCATCTGGATAGTATTACTTAATTTCCCAATGGGATGGGAACTCATTATTTCTGACTTTATCTCAGCGCTGACCTCTGGAACTGTTTCAGGAACGTTATTGGTTTGAGTCCATGCTCCCATTTTTTTTTACTTCTACAGTCCAACATTGATGGTGAATACAGATATGATACATCACTAGCGAGGGCACAGTGCAGGCGAGGGATAGACACATATGTCATCCTGGACCGCAGATGAGAATCACATTCACCTTTAATGCACGGCACAAAGACCAAAATGATATTGATTTATTACAGGCTACATTACAGCCTTTTTCTCTCACAGCGAATGGAATGTGAAATTTTATTGAAACAGGATGACTAATGGCCATCAAATGTCTTTTATGGCTAACCTTTTCTCCAAAAAGATCAAATTCCTTTTACACTGAACACTTACGGAGAGAGACTCACTCTGTGACATTTGTCTTCAGTTATCTCAGTTTTTTTTTTAACATCTGTCCTCTTCTCATATGTTGGAAGCACCAATAAGCTGCTTGATTTTCACTTTTTCTCTCTCTCCTGTCTCAGTTTAACTTTGTAGGGAAGCTGCTTGGACCGCGAGGGAATTCTATGAAAAGATTACAAGAGGAGACAGGAGTGAAGATGTCCATCCTTGGCAAAGGATCCATGAGGGATAAAGAAAAAGTAAGACACATATTGATTTGTGCTGAAATGTGGTTATTTGGCAGTCATAGAAGGATTATTTACAGAAACCCAAGCACTAACTACGGAATATTTAACTATGAACATACATTTAGGATTAGAAATAATTTAAATGTACTACCAGATAACCAAAGAAAATACAAAAAATAATGTTTTTATTTTGCACATTGCTAGAAAACTGAGCATCTTGTTTAAGATTATGTCATAGTATTTGATCATGCTTCTGTTCAGACTTTGACTGGGCGCCACTGAATTTTGTGTTTAGTTTTCTTTTTGTTTTAGGCATTCAGATATGGACCGGCTGGTACGCTTTGGATTATTGTCTTAGTGTTGAATCTCTAAACTTGACCTTAAAGAGTAAATGGCCTGTAATTGTGTAGCACTTTATCAAGTTCAGAAAACTCCACGTTTGCTTCAGACTACATTTTTCACACTACATGCACAGGGGCGGGGATGGCACAGTTGGTGCTGCACCATCTACCCAGCTCAATGTGTCAGTTATGAACCTAGCTGATAAGCCTGGTGGTCCACCAGGCTTATAATACACTGGGGGAAATCCTGGAGCTCACCTTCTAAGATCTTTTCACTTACTTCATGTTGTCAAGACAGATAATATTTAAGAAATTTCCTGATTCTTCAGATCAGACGGAAATTAGGCCTGGGTATGTCTTCTGAAATTTCACCATAAATGGGCTTAATTACATATAATTCATGATTTAAAAATGGGGCATTTATGTCTTCCTGTAGAGCCACGTTGGTTTGGATAGCTTACAGTATTTTGTATAACAATTTTGCATCCATGATAATATAATATGACGATTTGAAACTTTAAAGTGTGCCCAAAAAGAAAAAACAAGAAAATAAATCTATAAGGGATCTAAATACTATTTTACAGCAGTTTATATTGCACTGTTCATGTACATTCTAGTGACTCTCTTAAAATATCGCAAAGGTGAGTAAAATATATATAATTTTCATTTTACAGAACTAAATTGGAAAAATTATTTTCCCTTTCATGTTGTTTCATAGCTTTTGTCAAATAGGAATCGAAAGTATTGAATCTCCCTGACAGAGCCATTTATCTCGTTGACTTATGGTCCCCAACCAGGCGTGAGGACAGACTGCTTTCTGGGGCTTATATTCATGCTTATAACAGGTCTCAGAGTGTTCCTATTGAGTTACAGTGCTATTATTACTGTAGCCTTTGATTCAGACATCTTGACGTGACAAAAGACATGCAGCCTTCCCATGTCTTCACTGAAACTGGACCTCTCCGTTTCATTACAAGGAAAAGACGGGGTGAGGAAAACTTTAAAGTGCCTGTAATTGATAGTTTCGCAGAACCATGAAGACTATTTGATAATGTGAAAGGGTGTTTTTGTCTGGATTATCAGATGGACTTGTGGCTACCCACAGCTTAATGGAGTTTTGTGCTTTATAATAATACATTTCATGTCACTGCTAAGTGCAGCTGCCTGTCCAGTACCAGTGTTCATGCATGCAGGAGGCAGCACAAAAGTCTTAAAATCTAACAGTAGACTTTTTGCTGAAGTATAAGCTGTGGGTCAGAAAAGAGTTAATATGGATCAGAAACAGAGCTTAGGAAGGAGTGTAGACTGGATTTACACAAATTGTGGTAATCATTCTTTTAAATTTAAATGCAATTTCTGGTAAAGAGATAAACTTTGAAATTCATCGATATATTCACACTTGAAATATCAGAAATTACAAAAAGGCATGTAACATAATGTGCACATCATTATGTTATATGCCTTTTGTTGAGCATTTTTAAGGCTTTTGCCCTGTTTATACCTCGGTATTTGGCTTGGTGTGTACCTGACTGTCAAAGTCAGAGTGAACACAATGGTCGGATCCAAAATGCTGTCCAAAGTTGTCAGAAAAAAAGATCACAAAATTTCATAGAAGTCGCAAAAGCCCTTAGAATAAGGTATTCTAGTCAACCAAACAAGACCTACAAGTGGAGAACATTCAGAAGAACATCTAATATGCCCACGTCTAGCTATTCAAAAAAGTTCACCCTGAAGCAGACCACAAGATGTAAAGACCACAGATAAGTTTCATCAGACAATAAAATGTCATCATGGACCCTGCAATTGTCTCTTGCTGCTGCCGACACGACAGTGCATGCAGTCAGAAAGAGACTAAATAAGTTTAACTATCATAGTGAGTGTGAAGGGTATGTAGTGGCACACGAATTAGTACCAAAAGTAGCCAATACAGTGCTGTCAGTTTGGTTTGCACATATCACAAATGAATATAGCGCTGTTTTAAACCTTAACTGATGTACAATGTTGATGTGCTCAAGTAAACGTGTGATGCTACGTTCTAGACCAGTGTTTCTCAACCCTGGTCCTCAGCGCCGCCCTGTCCTGCATGTTTTAGGTATTTCCCTTCTGCCACACACCTGAATTGCATCTCTGGGTGATTAACAGGCTTCTGCAGTACTTGAAGGTCATGCAATCATTTGAATCAGATGTTCTGGAATAGAGGCACATCTAGAACATGCAGAGCAGGGGGGCGCTGAGGACCAGGGTTGAGAAACACTGTTCTAGACAGAGAGAGCTCCTGGTAAACTCTCGTTTGGGACCATTAAAGTTTCTCGTGCAGCTGGAGTAGAGAAATAAAGCAGTCATTGACCGCGGTTTTATTAAACCGTAGCTTGCTCTCGATCTGACTGAATAATTTGCATCAGGAGTGTTCAAAGTCAATCCTCAAGGTATTCTGCATGTTTTAGTTCTTTCCCTGGATCAGCAACACTGAAGCACTGAAACATGCAGGGATACTGGCTCTTGAAGAGTGACTTTGCCCTGACTTACCTGAAATAACGTCAAGCTGAATGGAAACCTCATTCGTACTGGCGAAAATTCATCTGATGTCCAAATGGCTGTCTGTAGCATCCAGTCATCCCAAATTCTGTACATGGTGCAAAATGCAAGTTGGAGGAATCCTAGTTGATGAGAGGATTTTCCCCAGCAGTTAAGCATGCTGCATTCAAGGACAGGTGGTACACTAGGGCATTGAAATATTAAAACAGCTCCATTGATTTAAACATGTTTTATTCTCAAATAAAGGCACCATCTTAAAAATATATACATATACGTTTTTAAAAAGTGCAACCAAATCTTTCAGTTTTTCAAGTCTTTGAAAGTAACAGAATCAAATGAATTTCAGAAATTGAAAACAAGTCTGTTTTCTACTGACCGAAGAAAAACATTATTATTATTACCTTTTAATGCAACCTACCAAACTGTGGCTTTATAACCAGAATATAAACCTAACTCTTATCTTTGTGTACTGTTACAACCTCAAACGGATTTACAAGGAGGAAACCTTTGCTCTTTAGAACTATTATAAAGGCCAGACTGGGGTTTTCTTGAAAGAATTCAAACAAAACCAAGATTTCTTTTGGAACAATTTTATTTGGACGGAGCATTCTTTAATTATTCAGTCACCAGAACAGGAGACAAGTTTGGCTTAGATAAAATACAGCATTTCAGGAAAAAAAATAAATCTCAAACCAACTGTGAAGAATAGAGTTGGGAGGACCATGGTTTTGGTATGCTTTGCAGCAGCAGGGCCTGCCCACCTCACCATTATAGGGCCCATAATAAATTCAAATTCAAAATGGGAGAGCACAGGCATTTTTTAAGTCCAGATCTCAGTGAGATGTTTGGTATGATTTGACAGGAGGTTGTACATGCAAGAAACCCCTGAAGCGTCTCGCAGCTGAATGTGAGGAGTGAGGGCTGATGTCAGAGTCTGGTAGAAAAGAAGCTTAGGGAAGTTATTTCAACCAAAGTTTCTAACTTTTTCCGGTAATAATTAACTTTTTTTTTTTAAGTGACTAAAACAAATATATTTTAATTAAATAAACAAATCTATATGAGCTAAATCTGTTTTTAGAGATGTATAAAATAAAAAGATAGGACATTTAATTTTGAACATTTCTTTGAAAAGAACACATTTAAAAGGCTGTGCTATTTTTTCACTTTTTGTATTATATCCATTTGTATAACTTGTAAGAGACGGTGAGACACGTTTACAGCTTCAGGTGTTAAGACTTTACACCATCTAAAATCACTTTGAAACGCCGCGCTTGAGTTTTCATCGAACTGCTGTCGTCAACTACTGCAAGAGATGGTAGCAATCATTATTATGGTGCTTTGGTGGAAAAAGCAGCTGCAACTCACATGAGTTATTTTCTCAACAGTCATAGCTGCTTGTCAAGCAATGACCACGCAAACAAACATTTACCACTGAATCTGAGTGAGCTACTCAGTGGGAAGATGAGCAGACTTCACTCACCTGACATTGATGCAGACTTGATCTGATTCAATTTTAAATCTGACCAGGCCGGGACACAATGTGTTCCAAACATTTGGCACAGCAGCTGATTTTGTTATATCTGTACAGTTAATATTTACTTTAACAGTGCTGATGTAATGTTTAAACCTGGTTGTAGAGGTGAGAAAAAAAAGTTGAGATTAAAAGAGAAAGTCTCAATTTTATTGGTCCATTTACATCATCACCCTCACCTGTGAGTATGAGACAGGGATCGTGGCCAAAATAAATCAAATCCTGTATGCAAAGGGGGTAGTCTCCATTTCAATAGCTGCTGCTGTTTAAACACTAATTTATTGATCTATTTTTACAATATGCTTGTATCAAAAATATGTAAGTCTATTTTGGTACAAACCTTTTTCATGCAGACTAACTTTTAGACAGTCAGATTCCTGCAGACAGAGGCCCGATACCTTTCAGATTTAGGTGTTTTTCTTTTTGCGGTATTGATTTCGTCTACTATCTGAGCCGGTCTGAAGGAAATGCAACTGACATCCAGAGGTCATGGATAAAAGCCATCCTGCCATTTAAGGCAGATGGCCACTTGACAGTGTCGAGCATTCACAGCCAAAGTCTAATTATATATCACACATATGTCAGTGTCTTGCAGCCAGCATAAATTCCCCAGAACTGTGGTTGAATGCGTCAACAGCCCAAAATTTCAACTTTGTATTTTTATTTTTTACCTCAGAATAATTCATGTGGGATACGTATCTAAAAAAAAAAACTGAATGTTGCATAAATGTGCAAAATTCTTGCCAGTTTACAACTATTACTTTAGTGAGAACGCGAGCAGAGGCGTTGTCGATCAGCTGGAGCTGATTTTTTTTTAGACAGATCTGTGAGGACACTGTTGCAGTAATCAATGCGACTAAAGATGAATGCATGGATGAGTTTCTTAGATCTTGCTGGGACATGAGTCCTTCAATCCTGGAAATGTTCTTCAGGTTATAGAAGGCTGACTTCGTAACTGTTTTTGTGTTTCTCTGAGGCTCAGGTTTGAGTCAATCGCTGCACAGAGATTTTGGGCCTTATTGCTCATTTCCAGTTGTAATAACTGATGCTGTGTGCTGACTCTAGATCGTTCCTGTTTAGGTCTAAAGGTAACTTCAGCCACTCCTGAACCAGAGACAATGTCAGAGGCATCCTCCCCAACGAGAAAATGAACTGGACTGTTGTAATTTGTTGACTTTCACCTCCATCGTCATTAACCAACATGTATTCATCAGGTTAACATGAGACGGAAACACAAGGCAAATCAAATACTGACTGTTAGAGAAAATAACATCGCAAGAATTTTCTTAAGGTCACAAATGCCTTAAAGTCGCTGTGGAAGAAAATTATTAAAATTCATCGAAGAGTCAGGCACACTGCAGGAATAATAATTACTTCTAGCGTCATTTGTGCTGTCTTCTGTTTTGCTTTTAGACATCTTAGAAGCAAAGACACAAAGACAGTCCACATGTAGGTTTTGATCAGATCCATAGTGATCTGACAGACATGCAAAGACTGCTAAAATCCTGGAGTGCTTTTAATTAAAGACGACCTCTCTTAAAGGGCAAAAAACAGTTCTGCAGTGCGAGGACAAGAGTTGGAATCCACAATCAGGCTGATGGGAAAAGAGAACATGACTGACACTCCCACCTCCACTAAAAGCCACTTGTCCTTGAGTAAAGAACCCAACCCTTAAGTGCTGATGTTTAAGATGGATCAATTCAGACAAAAAAGGGAAACAAGTTGCAGTTCTGGTCAGCAGTTTACACACACTGAACATTTTCATTTTGGGTAATTAATATTTACAAGTTAAAGAATGTCTTAAAAACTCATGTAGACCATGACTTATCCATTTTAAAGGCTAAGTTATGGTCAACAGAATCATTCTATCACGATTCTCTTGATTGATTTTTAGTCTGGATAACAAATATAACCAATAAGACAACCAGGGATGTTGCAAACAATTAATTTAGTAATTGAATAAATTGTCAATTATTCTGACAATTAATTAAGTAATCAAATAAGAAATTAGGAAAAATAAAATAATTTGTAAATACTGTAATATCGGGTATCAACAGCAGCCCAAATTTTTAATATTTGTGCATCTCTAACAGTTTGCTCACACTACGGTGTGCTCCGCCGCCCATTTATTGAGACTGGGATGGTGGTAAATACATTTTTCATTTCATCTGTAAAGCATGAGCTACAGCAGTCTGCTGTGTTCAGTCTATCCACTCCACCTATATAAATACATCTACCGCACACTTCAATGACACTCACCCCAAAGCAGCCACTAAGAAAAAGCTATGAGAGGATAAAGGTTGTCCTATTCCAGGCAATGCAGCAGTTATTTTAAGAATGCTTATTGTTCCCCCAAAGAATGATAAAAACTCTAGACATTTTCATCTGTCAACAAAATCCCTCGGATGCCTCGATCGAACTTGAATGTTATGATGCTAACATTCAAGTTAGCAGCATAACTAGATTTTTTTGTGCAACATAAATAATCACCTGGCCAGAAAAACGCGTGCTTAATAGTAAAACGTAATTTAATGAAGCTTCAAGACAGGAATTTTAATAATCAAGATACCCGAATCATTCATGGAATATAGCTCTAAAACAACCCAAAGATTAATGCACTTAAAAATAGCGTTCAACATGATTCCAGGAGTTGAATATGAAATCCAGACGCTAATACGCTACCACAGTTAAAGGTGGTGGGACATGTGTGGACTTTGTTTATGTTTGACATCAGAATTGATCATTTCCCACATTTTCTTCATTTATCTATGAATCCGCTGTGCCAAGTATTTTTGTTATGTCTCATTTAACTATTAATTCACTTTTGGAATTTACTGAAAAATTGACTGTTCTTTCCAATAGAACCGAAACAGTTCCTCAATAAATTTGGGTACCTTGATTAATAAAAATCAGAGAATTTTGACAACCAAAAACAACAATAAAAAAATAGCAACCTTCTGAGGAAGAGTGAACAATTTGCTTTCACATATTTTGCAGTTAGCAGCTGATTGTTAATAACATTGTGTACAACTGCTAGTTTGAAAGATAAAATCAAATGTTAACCTGTATTTAAAGCCAGTTCTGGGGCTCCGATAACAGATAAAAACTTGAAATGCTGAGTTTATTTTAGAAAGAAATCATCCTTCTAGCAGTATCACATTTTGTCTGTACAATTTATGGTATCTACTTTAAAAACATATATCTGAAAACTTTGCAATTTTCATCACAATGCTTTACGTTTATGAAAGCAAGAGTGCTTTGATGACTAATACAAAAAACAACAAGCAAAAACACTTGCATTTGCAGTTTGTCTCTGATGATTAAGCCTGTCATTTTCCTTTCCTAGAATAAAAAGATGACTCAAGTGTTGTTGCAATTTTTAGCATGATGGAAGTTTTGTTAACGTAAAACATTTAGTAATGTATATCTGAAAACTTCCCAGTTTGTTGGTGATGTTATTTCAAACACTACTGCCTTTACCTAGAATGAGACATTGAATGTAGCACCACATTGGATGTGGCACCACAAAACTTCCCAGTTTTTGAAAAACTGGGAAGTTTTTCAAAAAAATTGTTTCTGCCTCATGAATCTTTTTCCACATTTTCTCATTTTACGACCTCCGGTTTCAATGTGTGTTATAATGATTTATGTGATAAACCGACACTTAGAAGTGAAAATCCTGATTGTAAAGTGGATGTGAAAAATTCTATTTATGAATTTTATTTTGAAATAAAATGTTGAATAGCATGGCATGCCTTTGTATCTTGCTGCAGGTCCAAAACTTGAATAATCAGAAGTCCAATAATATTTGTAACCTGGGATATATATATTACAGAAATTCCTTGAACTATGGATATTATGAGCTAATATGAGTTTAATTGACAGAATATGAGTTCCTGTTTTTTGGAGAGGCGAGGGTTTGCCTTCAGACAGTTTTGTGTTAAAGCAAAGTGTGCTTTTTATTATTAATGAATATTTGGTTATGCCAAAGACTATAATCACGAGATAAAAATATTACCGCAGTTTAAAATGTGACTTCTGTTCACAAAGGCAAAATCATTTCACTGACTCCTTTATTTTTACAGGAAGAAGAATTACGGAAAAGCGGGGAGGCCAAATACGCCCACCTGTGTAATGATTTACACGTTTTAATTGAAGTCTTCGCTCCACCGGGAGAGGCCTATTCCCGCATGAGTCATGCCTTGGAGGAAATTAAAAAATTTCTTGTTCCTGTAAGTTTATGACTTGATTCTCTCCCTTATTTTTTTTTATTATTTTTCTGTAAGAGAACAATAGTCACTACTGCTGACTTGATTGTTTCTCCACCAGACCTATTAATTTTTTGCTGGGCTTGGAATATGCAAGGTTTTGTTTATAGAAAAAGAAGATATAAGTAAGAGGTTTATCTCTGCTGCTCTACATGTTTTTTTTCTTTGTTCCAAAGAAAAAAAAAATAATGTATTCTGCAATTAAAATGCAGTATGAAGCTACTTGCAAGACTCTTGCAACTCAGAGCCTGAAGAACTTTGCTGTAATTAGTGTGCATGTTGTGTACTCTTGCTGAGTCTAAGCTGTAAATATTAATCAAGCTTTGCAAATGTGACAAGCCTAATAGAGGAGTTGTACTGGATGGATCTACTTTATGGGGTTCACGCTTCTTCCTGTACTGAGCCAGCGCTCTGTATGCAAACTGGGCCAGCAGGGTGATGATGCTGCAACAGCACTGAGCTAAAGCAAATACAAATTACTTAACACCGAGTGCCAAAAAACAAATTAGTAAAGGATTATAACCTCTTTCCAAAGAGGTTAGGATGCCGTATAGTATAGATTAAAACAGAATGAAGTGATTTGCAAACCATTTAAACCTTCTATTTAATTATAAAAGTGCTAAAACAACATGATGTTAAAAGCTAAAGCTTTTTGAGCACGCACAATGGCTAGTAGTTTCTTCTTTCGTCCAATTTTTTTTAAACATCCTAGGTCACACATTAAGTTATTTAAAAAAGTTTTCACGGGCAAAGACCACACGAGTTTTTTTTCACATTTGGAATATCCTGCGTATTTTTGATTACTTAACTTTATTTTTGTAGTTTTTAATTCATTAATTTTGTGTGTGTGGGGGGGTGTGTGTACCATGTTTTTACATCCTTGTGGGGACCTTTTCTCTGTCTACGTTGTGAGGTTGTTGGGGCCACTTCTCCTTGTGGAGACAGACCCTGGTCCCTGTGAGGGGAAATGCTGTTTTTGGGTTTGGGATTATGTTTGGGACTAAGGTGTGAATTGAGTTTTGGTTAGGGTTAAGCTGTAGATATGAATGGAAGTCAATAGAAAGTCCCTCCAACTATGTTTGTGTGCATGTGTCCTACAGGTGTTTTTTTTTTTTGTGTGTGTGTCTTAGAAAGACTCTCAAAAATAATAAATATAACAATATATTGTTGTAACTCCACCGACCCCTCGTTTACCCCCGTTCTGAGGCGCGTTTGAGAACAACTCTTTGCTGCATTTTGCTGCGGTCGTTTTCAGTGTGAAAGAGACATTTCACACCTCGCCTCCCTCAGTATAGCAGAGCACTCCACTCCACATTGTTCGGCCATTTTTGTAGTTTGAGTAGCAAAATGGAATGCTCTGGTGGTGCTGTGGTGGCAAAGGGGTAAAGCACAACCCATGACCCCAACATGGCCATCACAGGTTCGAGTCCTGGTCTGATGACCTTTGCTGCATGTCTTCCCACCCTCTCTTTACCAACTTTCTTGTGTGACCACTCTCAAATATAGGTCACTGGAGTCAATAAAACCTTTGAAAAAAATGGAACGCTCTACAATTTTCTACCGGCAGAGAGAAACCTTTTATTCCCAAGTTTGTGTCAACAAACATCCAGCATGTTCAAGCCAGGGTCTGACCCAGAACAGGAGAAGGAAGATGACGAACCTGCAGAACCACATATTCAGATGAATGCATCGCAATGGAGTTAATACTGTATTTAGACGCTTACCCTCCAAACCAACTATATATGTAGTATGGTTTACCTATGAAGTCCATGTATGTCATACCTTTTAAAATATTAATGCACTTGTCCACTAGCAATTTTGACATAAGTTAACTTGGACTACAAAATCGATCGAGGAAAAAAATGGCGGATTCACAAAACTGATTAGCTGGAAGTCATGACCTTGAGCAAATATGGTGACATAATAAACAAGAAAACGTTATAGACAGTAGAGAAAAATAAAACATAAGCCATAAAGAATATGAATATATCCACATAGCACCGGGAGAGAGTCAGTAAAACATGTTTGCTCTCCTAGAAACTCAAAGTATACAAAATTACTTTTTGTGTAATTTATTTGTGCATCTTTTTGTGCACAAATAAGCACAAAAAGATGCACTTATTTGCTAAAAAAGTGGATCTGATATGTGTTATTTAAAGGTTGTTCTCTGAGCTACAACAGCCCAGAGTAAAGACTTTAGAACTTGGAAAATATGCTCTATTTTCTTGGTTTTAGTGAGAACATTACAGCAGTGATGATGAAGATTGAAGACATGCCCTCCAGCACAAAAGCGCACTCGCATACCAGGATCATGACACCAGTGGTGCATGATCCATCTGTAACCAATACCATAAGTAGGTTTTTGCAACAATAAAGTTGCAAAGGTCTTGAAAGAGGTTTTGATTTTTGAGTTTACTCAATGTGAAATGGCTTTGGTGTGATACCTCTGTGCTGAGAAACCCTCTAAAAACCATCAGTTCATTTCCATTGGTTGTGGTAGGGCTGAACAGTGTGAAAAACGCATCATGATATGAGGGTTTAATATCAGTCGATATTCCTAATTATTGATTAGTTTTGTCTTAAATATCTGAAATACTCCCATTACCTTTCCTCCTTCATCCACAGTTCCTTCTTGAGATGTTCTGCTCCATTTATTCTTTCACTCCTCATCTTTTTTTAATTATTATTATTATTTCTAAGCAGTTATGAGGCGCAACATGAAACTGCTTCTGTGCCACTTACTCAACAAGTTGTTGCTTAGCTGGCTGTGAGAGGTTGAGCGGCTGTAGCCTTTCTTCTGCCTATATCTCTCACAAGGCTGTGCGGTTCAACGACATTATTGAACATTATATCAGACGGCATTCTATTGCTATTGATCAAGTGTCTATTGCTATATATGTTTATTATTTCCTTATTCCCATTCCTTGAGGTGTTGCTGACATCTGGTGTAAATTTCATGTCAATAAAATCATATTTTTCTCCTAATAATTATACTAACAAAAATATTCTATATTTGATCTGGTACTATGTTAAAATGAAAAAGAAAATTGGATCAATGAACTCAAGATGATTAGCTTACTATTGTTTGAACTCTTGACTGATCTTCAAATCAGTTTTTATTTTAAACAACCTGTGCAGTTTCATGTTGTCTGAAATCAAAACATTCATTGGAAATGGTACATGCTTGAATATATATATATATATATATATATATATATATATATATATATATATATATATATATATATATATATATATAAAATTAAAAAAAAAAAAAAAACACA